GCAAAATACTAATATGTAACAGTTTGGGGTTGATTTACTAACCTTCTAAACACACCACGAACATGTATACACCTCTGTAATGTGTTCCCTCCCAGCATGATCTATGGGTGGAATCTAAACTCCTTTGTAGTGTGTACACACCCAGCAGGTGTGTTGTGCAAAGCCTTGCATGAATTCCAAGGTGATGTTGTGTAAATTAGCTCTATGTTATGTTGTTTGCGTTGATGAATGCAGGATTGTAAATGCATGAGCTAACCATTTTTGTCTAAACTGTGAAGCAGCATTATATATGGATCATGTGCATGATTTTTCCATATATGGCATTAGTGGAAATATGCTTTTAGAGACTTTTTGGTTGATAAATACGTTTTGCTGTGTGAAAATCACACGCACCTGGTGTGTGCGTGTGTTTAGGTTAGTAAATCACCTCCAGTTTATGTTTATCTGACTAAATAAAAAATAACATATTTCTTACATTTGTATTTTTATTTAGGAAAAAAAAAGAAAATCCCATATCCAGGTAAAAATAAAATAAAAAAACCCCCAAAAACATACAACTAATGTAGACACCACATATAAGGTTTGGCATGCTGCAATATATGAAATGTTTTGTTTTGGGTTTAAATACGTTTTAAGAATCTGAACAATTGTTTTGATTTTTTAGTAGTGCTCTCCATTGCTACACACTAACATTGCCGGAAGTTTTACAGCCATATTGCATGGTATGAATGTTGGTATTGCTTGTATTTTTTCAATCACAACATATAATCGAACTGTTGTGCACAATATGTATGCATACTGTATATGACCATGATACTTACAGCACTTCCTGTGCCTGCAAGATCATTTCACTATAATATGACACCATCAGGTATATTTTGAAGAAGTAGAGAAAATCATTCAAGTTTACAATTAAATTCTGTACATTTAATGAATAATCCACAAGTCCAACAATCACTGTCTTATGTCTTTCAGTAGCCACAAAGATATCATAGAAACCTAATAAGTGCTTGAGTTGGTGGAATTCTTACCTTTTTTTATTACAATATAACAAATGTACAAGTCATTCTATGTGAGTCTACAATCTACTCTTTAAAACAGACCCATAGTGAAATGTTCTCTTACCACTACGCTAACAGTCTTAGTGGGGTGGATAGATAATTGTGATAGAAGGGCTAAAAGTATACTTTTGCTGCCAGATTGGGATAAGAACCTACTTTATATTTGGTATTTTGTTCTCATTCATATTGTATAACTTAAAAAATATTTAAAAAATGCTCCTTAACTTATTAAGCGCTTACTGATCTAAAAATCCCCCCTATGTAATGTTAAGAAAGTGGCTGTGGAAAGTTGTTTACTGTAATAACCCTTTCTTTAGTGCGCTTGCCAGTGGTGGAAAGGGCCCTGGTGCAGGATTTTTTCTCGGGCCCCCCCTTCCTGCTTCCAAGGGGGGGTGCCGGAACTGGATCTCACTGGCCCCTGAACCACCCCAGCTCTCGCTGCACTAAAGGAGCTTACACTCTAATGTCCCCCCATAGTCACATACTATTATTTTATATTCATATAGCTCTGACATATACTGTAGTGCTGTACAGAGAACACTGAGCTAGTCACAGCAGTCTCTGTACAGAGGAGCTTACACTCTAATGCAGAATGCCCTCATCTGTAGAGGACTACAAATCCCAGCAATACATTATAAAGAAATGCAGAATAATATATGAATTTTGTACATACTCTGTTCTGCCTCTCTGCTCTGGAATGCCGGTCTGATGTCTTGGGCAGAGGGTCTCAGGAGGGGTGTAGAGGGCATCAGGAGGGGTACAGAGGGTCTCACGAGGGGGAGATGTGCAGGCAGCAAAAGTGCCGGGTGGTTCCACAGAAGGCTGCTGTGCAGGACCTAACACAGCTGAATCAATTTGAAATTTTTTATTTCTGAGCTGCAGAGGTCAGTTGTAAGGAAGAGTACAGAGGTCAGTGGTGTAACGCAGAGTGCAGAGGTATAACACAGAGCACAGAGGTCAGCAGTGTAACGCAGAGTGCAAAAGTCAGCGGTATAATGCAGAGTGCAGAGGTGTAACGCAGAGTGCAGAAGTCAGCGGTGCAGAGCAGAGTACAGAGCTCAGAGGTGTGACGCAGAGTACAGAGCTCTGCGGTGTGACACAGAGTGCAGAGGTTAGGGTGTGACACAGAGTACAGAGGCCAGGGTGTGATGCACAGTGCAGAGGTCAGAGTGTGACTATTGTGCAGAGGTCAGGATGTGAAGCAGAGTACAGGGGTCAGGGTGTGACGAAGAGTACAGAAGTCAGCAGTGTGACGCAGAGTATAGAGGTCAGGGTGTGACGCAGAGTACAGAGGTCAGGGTGTGACGCAGAGTACAGAGGTCAGGGTGTGACGCAGAGTACAGAAGTCAGCAGTGTGACGCAGAGTACAGAGTTCAGGGTGTGACGCAGAGTGCAGAAGTCAGGGTGTGATGCACAGTGCAGACGTCAGCAGATGTGACGCAGAAAGAACAAGTACTTACAGTGCACACAGATGTAATTCAAATTCTGCATTTACTAAGTTGAAGCCCCCAGCAGACTCCTTGTGTCTTCTTCCCAGTACCCGCTCTCCTGCAGTGTACAGCCAGCCAATGGTGGTGCTGCAGTCTTCCGCCTATAGCAGCTGAATTGGGCGGAGGAAGCTGCAGGTGGCCACTGATCAGCCCAATCACTGCAGTGCGTACATAGTAGTGACAGCTCAGCAGATTCTTCTCCTCCTCGGCCGCTCTGTGGTTGTAGTAGCCGAGGAGGAGAAGAATCTGTACAGCTGTCACTACCATGTGCCCGCTTCAGTGTTTGAGAGTGGAGATCACTCTTCTCAGATCTCTCCTCTCAATGAGAATGATCGCTGCTGTGGCGGCTGTTTTTAAGGGCCCCCTGCTCAGTCCCCCTCTGCCTACAATCCCTTAGTGGGCCGCTTAACCCAGTAGTTCCGCCCCTGGTGCATGCAGATCTCATTATCAGCTGTAAACTGGATTTGAACACTGTCTGTCCTAACAAAGGGTTAAAGACATACAAACAGTGTAAGTTAATGAGAAGAATTCGAGTCTGTCTTTCAGTTTCTCCCTTTACTTTTACTTTCAAACTGCCCACAGTAGCCTGGAATCTGCACAAAGGCCTTCACCAAAGCAATATCTAAAAGGTAAGAAATATATTTACATTTTTTAAGGGTATGCTGTGTGAATGGGAACACATAATAGACGTATAGTGGGTTTTCTCAAATTTGACTGCAAAGGTGGAAATGCACTTTAACCCCTTCACGACCCATGCCAGGATAATCCTGTCATGAATCTTCAAGGGGTTGAACAGACTCCCGACGGACTCTGTTCGGATTTCTAGAGCACGCAGCCGGCTTTACAGAAGAAGCGATTTTGGACGACTCAGCTTCTAGGATCCGGTAAAGTGGTAGACCCTAGACATTTTTTTGTGCCGAAACTAACGAAAATTCGTATTTCGTACGAATCCGAATTGAGTTTTGGACACGAATTACGAAATAACGGATATTCCGAAACGGAACTAATTTTTTGACGGCGCACAAGTCTAGTAGACCCCCCCACCACCTGACACCCCTGCCATGTTTCCCGGGCTCCGCTGCCCCTCCTACAGGTCCGGGACCAGCATTTCAGGTGTCGGCAGGAAGCTGGAGAGGAGAGCGGTGAACGTCCGTTTACCGCTCTCCTCCCCATTCTATAGGACCGGGAGCGACACGTATTGCATCACTTCCGGTCCCTCCGCTGTCATTGCTGGACTCCTGAAGCCCAGCAATAAGCTATTGAAGTGTGATCTGCACTTCAATATCCTTTTTAGAGTGTAGAGGTGATACTAGGGGTCTTTTGGACACCCAGTATCACCTTAAAGAGTACCTGTCACCACTAATATGCTATCACAAGGGGGGCTTGTAAGCCCCCCTATGTGATAGTAATTAAAGTAAAGTAAAAAAAAACTGTTTTAAAAATAATATTAAATAAATTGAATCTAAAAATAATAAAACATTTTCTTTTTAAAGTCCCCTCCTCCCGCAAACATGCACGTGATCACATAAATACCTGTGTATGAAAATGACGATTGTGCTACACATGTTGGGTATTGCCGCACACGCCAGAGTGAGAGTAATAATTCTAGGGCCAATATTTATGCGTATGTCTAAACTGATAAATCATCGTGTATGGATTTTTTGGGGTACTGAATTCTGTTGCACTTTCACAGATGCACGCAATTTTTAACCTGGGCATGTTGGGTATCTATTTACTCCTTATAACCTCATATTTTAATGGTTTAATATAGTGTTTTGGGGCACTAAATTTAACTTTAATGCATTTTTTCACAACCTTTTTGGGTTTGATAATAAGTTGCGCTAATGTCGTGCAACATAAAAATTTGCAACTGCCACCATTTCATTCTATAGGGCTTCTTGGCTTATATATAATGTTTGGGGGGTTTAAGTAATTTTCAGGCCTAAAATGTGGATTATAACATGAAAACAAAAAATGAAAAAAAGGCCTTTGTCCTTAAGGGGTTAAAGTGTTTCTGTGCCCAGGCTATGCACATTAACCTATTTATATATTTTTAACACTCAAATAAAGAGTTTTTAAACAAGCTTTTCCTGACTGCTCTAGCTACTAGAAATATGAAGTCATTTGTTCTCAAAGGTCCTCAAAGATCACAACAGACTCCAAAGTTGGGTTCCCGTTTTTACCAGCTTAGAAACACCTGCTGTTTATTTACTTTCAGTTCAGCATTTTTGTGGGTATAAAATATCTTAAAGACCAATTACAGTTAGTTTAAACCAGAAATCACACAACCATGCACACGCACATGTGTTCACGCATTAAAATGCATTGCGTTAAGGCAGCCCATTCATTTTTGCTTAACTTACTATACTTACTTTTTATTTAGTCTAAAAATATATACCTATTGTAATAATAATAAAGTTTTTAAAATAGCAATAATATAAACTGACACTTAAGAAAAGCACATTTCTAGGGCTGTAAAACATGGTTTCACATATAGATATTTGGCACTTAAATAACCATCATCAAACAATACTAGCTTTGGAAGAATTGCAATGTGAACATTATGAAGCTGTAGTTATTTCTTCTGCAGACTCGTTGTCAGAAACCACTTGCTTATTAACTTCAGAGCCTTTTAAACTGGTTACAGTGCTATGTCCATCTTCAGATCCTTTTACCATATCAACTTCAAGACCACTGAGGCTGCCTGCATAGAAAACAACAACAAAAATATTTTGTTAGACATGTTTTACAAAGCATTGGTCTGGTATGACCACATTTTATTTTTTATTTTCCAGCTCTTCCCGTATTCTCACCCAAATGACCATGTATTCTCTGATCCCAAGTTTGTTAGAAGTACAAACTCTCTCTAAGTGCAGATACCGCATTGTGTTTGCTATCACCTTTGCTAGGCAGAAAAACTTTTCTGTGCCCCTCTCTAAATTTAGTTTACCTGATTAAGTGCTATTCCCTATTCCAATAACAGTGTCCTTACTGACCACTGAGGAAGTCTCATTGCTAGTGGAATGGCTGGTGGCAGGAAATATCAGGGTTCATTTACACAGTGAAACTAAATACTGAGAGGGACACAGAAGACATTTTTTGTCTGTATAATAATGTTAATAGCAGTTATCCTGTGGTGTCTGTTTGAAAACTTTGTAGAAAATGTTAACCTTACCTCCAGGGGCCCTTTGTGTGCATCCTGTGAACTACAGGTAAATATTCTCCTATAACTGCTTTCGCTGTCCTTGATTGTCAATGTTCTAGACAATTAATGTGTCAGAGAATTTTCCACTGAAAACTACAGGGCTAACCAGCGGTGGACTAGCAGTCAAACCTACCAGGGCCCTACATTATGTTGAGACAAGTAAAATATAGTTGAGACACCGGGCATTCCAGAAATGAACAGATAATGCCTATTTATTGACGTAAATAAGACAAATCACATTAGTGCAATGTTTCGGGGTCACGCAGGATCCTCTTCCTCAGGCAAGACATGTGCTACGTCAACTATATTTTGTAAATGTGATGGTGCCATCCGTCGACTACCGCAGCACACACCATTATTCTGTGACCAAGCGGTCAGGAGTGTGATGGGTTCATGAACTTTTAAGTAAAATAAGTGATCTTGCTGTACCTCAATCTTGTAAAAGTATGAAGGAAATTATTGTGTTAGGTTATTGTAATTGTATAGTTTAAAATATCTGTTTTGCAAGATATATAAACACTTTCAATGGTATATTTAACATACCAAAAAGGAACAAATAAAACAAATTTATTGTTAGTGTTTACAGGAATAGAATTCTCATCCAGAACACCCATGTGCAGAAGAATTTAAAATATAGGAATCCTTTTTACATATGATTAGAGTATGTGTGTGAAAACAACTTTATTAAGCCCTATTAAGTTAAAATATACTGCTTGAGTAATCAACTACTAATTCTATATTTGCACTGTGTACTGTGTAAAGTTTGGTGGAGGGGGGATTATGTTGTGGGGTTGTTGTTCTTGTTTTTCAGGGGTTGGGCTTGGCCCCTAAGATCCAGTTAAGGGAACTCTTAAGGCATCAGCATACCAAGACATTTTGGACAATTTCATGCTCCCAACTTTGTGGGAAGTTTGAGGATGGCCCCCTCCTGTTCCAACATGAGTGCACACCAGTGCACAAAGCAAGGTCCATGAGCGAGTTTGGGGTGGAGGAACTTGACTGGCCAGCACAGTGTCCTGACCTCAACCCGATAGAACACCTTTGGGATGAATTCGAGCGGAGACTGCGAGCCAGGCCTTCTCTTCCAACATCAGTACCTGACCTCACAAATGCGCTTCTGGAAGAATGGTCAAACATTCCCGTAGACACACTCCTAAACCTTGTGGACGCCTTCCCAGAAGAGTTGAAGCTGTTATAGCTGCAAAGGGTGGGCCAGCTCAATATTGAACCCTACGGACTACGACTGGGATGCCATGAAAGTTCATGTGCCTGTAAAGGCAGGTGTCCCAATACTTTTGGTAATATAGTGTATATATATATGTATTTAGAGAGAGAGATTATTATCTTGGGGATAATAGCGAAAAGTATACATATGAAGTAAGCAACAGATGCAAAAGCAAATACAATTCTGGGTTATGAAGCTAACAACAAGCAATGCAAATGTAAATGATTTATAAAGACCACTCTTGCAAGCATGGTACAGTTTTAGGCATTGACTCGCCACCTGGCTTCCTGATTGCTCAAGAAGCCAGGCAGCCTCTGCAAGTGAAGCAGGTGTTCTTTCACTAGAACACTGGCTTCAAAGGCAATTACGATCCACTGCCTGACTTCCTGATAATCGGGGTACATGGCACCGGTACTCGGTATTGGCGAATACCAGAAAAAAATATTGGTACTCTTACTCGATACCAAAAACACGGTATTGGTGCATCCCTAGTGTCTACAGATCAGGAAGTGAGAAACAAATGTTTGTGTATCATTGGGCTTTAGCTCCTCAAATCATCTCTGAATTGGTGCTGACACTGTCCTTCCTTCTGGAGGGTGGCTACTTTTGTTCCCCATGGTCCCTGTGTGTGTTGTAAAGTAGCCACAGCTCCAAACTCCCTCCATGTATGGACTAAAATCTCAATACAAAAATTAGTAAACTAAAGAGATTAAAGTCCATCACGGACACGTGAATTGAAATCAAGTGCAAAAGCATGTTTATATCATGCATCATAAAAGCAAATTTCTGTAATTGCTTATTTAAGAAAGTGCATATCACATATGGCCATAATAGATCAAAGTATTCTTAGTTATACAGTATATTAAAAACTGCTAAGAAATGAGACCAGTTAGAATTAAATGCATGAGCATACTACTACAGCATGTGCTAATTTTTATTTTGGACCATACTCTTACCAGGGTGTACACATAGTGGGAATTAAGATTGCAAGGCATTACTGTAGTCTACAGAGGATTACCTCATAAGCCTTTGGCTAATTCAGCTTGGCTGAATTATATGTTGCTGTATAAAGCTAAGGTTATTACTTTTGAATAGTCATCACAAAAGCTGATTATGTCTGTATATCATTTAACCAGACCCTTTAGGCTACTATTCTATTAGGTATGCAAGCAAAGCATGATCAGAAGTTGAACAAAGGTTCTACTCGAACTTAGCATCTGAGAGGGTAATTTGTACAATACTAAGTTGTTCAGAAATGATACTGAATAGAGATCATTTAAATTCAAACTATGTAGTTTCCATTTCCATTTTAGCAAGAAAATACAAAGCAGTTTTGACGGAAATTTTTTTTCTAGTGGCAAGGTCCCTTCCTCCTAGACCCCAAAAAACTAACTACACAGAGATTTTTGAAACTTTCAACACAACAGTGCTCAGGCTTCAAGAAACGAATGCTGGTTTTGGTAGTTGACAATCCCTGTTATCCTGTTTTTACACATTCACTTTTAACGGTCCCAGTTTCACAAAACTAGAATTAGGCTGATGTTGGTCTCTCGATGAGCAGTACTATTTTTCAAAGCATATAAAGGAAAGGCATTAATTCAAGAACTTGTTCCACTGGGTGATATAAGCTGTTGTTATGGTTTTACCTAAACCCACCAGAAGTAAATATTTTACTGCTTACCACAAATCAGCCTGACACTACTAATGATGCTAGCAAACTAGCATTGTACCCGAATTGAAATAGCCAATAGTAATGTCCCAATGCTTTTCAATGGGAGAATTTTTTTTTTCTATTCTGACATCACTCGTGTCAGAATATAGAAAAAAAAGACACAGCATTTTTTCTCTCCTTGGCGGCCGGGAGCAGGAGGCTCCCGGGGCGCCAGGGAGAGTTAGCTGTTTGGAAAACAGTGTCCCTGGTTAGCAACTAGGGACGCTGATCTCTCTGAAAGTGGCCGGAGCCAGCCGTAAGATCACGGTTGGCTCCGCCCAGCTGTCAGAAGCAGGCTGTCGGCCGCTCGGCCAGCTTCGGCTTTCTGCACGGCTCAGCAGAGCCGATGCATATGCGATCGGCTCGACTGAGCCGCTCGCCCATGGTCGGGAGCTGTACGGGCTATTGTGAATAGCCCGTACAGCACCCCTTCGGTTCTACTGAACCGAAGGGGTCCTGGGGCGAAGCAAGCCGAAGGATCGGCCGAAGCTACGGCCAGATCCTTTGGCAGCTTCGTGAATAGACCCCTATGTTTTTTTTTCAGTTAAGACCGCTACATGACCACAAAGATGTTCACATTCCCAGAGTAGGAGGCACATATTTAATGAAGTAACAACACACAGATGCAGTATTTAAGGGGAAAAAAATACAGTTTGTAAACCTAAAAAGGTGGGTTTGAAATTACATTTTGATGCAAAATTTTCCACCTACAAAAAAATTAGAAAGAACTGTGTAGATATGGGGCTTTTAAGGTGCCGAGTGACAAAACCAAGAGATTACAACATCATACGTATCAAAAGGATTTTTATTATACAAAGGTTAAAAGGCTTAAAAAAAAAAGACATAAAAAAAAGTCATTTGTTCACGACAATTTATTCCACTTACAAAGAAACATGTGAAACGGGCAGTAGGGGAGCGTTAGGCGATCGGTTTGTAGAAGTGGCATATATGGGAAAATTTGGAGGTTCTCCTCTACTACACTAAAATTGTAGTGTCAAAAAATGTAATAAACCTTGAGTATCTGTTGGATAGAGCCTACACAGAACACTCCACAAATGGTGTCAACTATTATTTCCTATTCCTAGTTACCATTCACTTTTAATATTACTCTTACACTCAATGTCAATAAAATCACAGTTTATTATCTGTTTAGCCAGTCAAAACCCCTTTAATGCTGATTAAAAGCCAAACAAACTGGTTGCATTATTCCATTATGCCATTAGTACAAACCAATTGGAAACATTAATACCTTTAAGTTTAGAAACCTATATGTTGTATATCCAGTATATAGGTTTCTAAACGGTATATGATCCAACTCCATAGATCCAGATAGTATTAATATATTTTGTTTCTTTGAAATGATACAGCAGAGCAGCATTCACTTGTTGCTGACCAAAGGAGAAAGGATCACAGCTCACCCACTCTCTACAACCTGGCGTGGCGGACTCTACCATGTACAGTTTGCCAGACAATTACCATACTTTTCTATCCATCTTGATAGAGGATCATAAAGAACATGTGAGTTTTGACCCTTTCTTTCAGCAACAAGTGTATTCTGTGCTT